AAAATTATTATTAATAGAAGAAAAAAATTGTAATATTATTTTAAGCTAGTAACTGTTTTGAATAAGCTAACTAAATATACATAAAAATGTAGGCTTAATTTTTTTAAAAACCCAGGCCTAACTAAGGCCCGCTAAAAAATATAATATTATGTCCATATCCGGCCCATGGGCGCGAACCAGTCCGTCCAGTAAAGGTCTCTGCAACGTATGTAATAAAAAAGTATATGCAATCTTCTTTACGATTAAGCTAATTTTCAATGATATCTCTTAGTGTCAAATCTAATGAAGATCACTGTCCAATCTTTGCAGGACAGAACCATAATACGCGTACCTAAAAATCCATTCCAGATCATGGTCCTAAATAAAAAGAGCAGTTCAGAACCGATCTTTTAATTTTATAGGTTATTTTTAAATAATTTCTTTTTCTCTTATTTAAATCTTGATTTAATAAAAGTATTTTATGTTAACAATATAAAATCTAATATGGATAATAAAATAAATAATGCATACATTAAATTTAAAATTAAAATACTTTTTTGACAAACTTTTTATTCTCATAATATATTGCAAAATAAATATGAACCAAAAAAGAATCACAAAAACTAAAGTAACTCCTCTAGAAAAGTATCAAACACAAAAATTTCCTTAAAAATAATAAGAATTGAATAGTAAGGCAAACTTAAAAATTATTAAAAGACTGATACAGACTACTGCCTTACCGTCTAAAACCGATAGGACCGGGCTGTTGATTTTTTCTAGTCAAATCCTTGCGTATATATTTAGAACTCATTTCATCTATTTACTAAGGTAGTAAGTTTCCAATTTCCAACTTACAGAAGGATTGGGATGTAGCTATAGTGTCACGCTACGTCGATTTTCTTCTCTCGAGCAACGACCATTAAGCTCATAACCTTCTTTCCTTAGTGATAGATAAAATGACTACGAAAAGTATATCCAAATAAATTACACCAATTACTTTTAACAAACGACAAATTTCGGTATGCATTTGCTACCCGGCTAGTACCATTATAACCGAACCTTATAATTGTCAAAGATGTAGTATACTTGTTGATTCTAAAGTAAGTCACCCACTCTATTGTCTTGTAAACAGGTATAAATCTATACACGAGAAAATAAATAAAATCATCCAAACTCATTTAAAGAATCTGTCCCCTCACATCTCGAACAGCAAGATACGTCCTTATCTTATTAATAACACGGCCTGATGGGTATACGTTGACCCCTCGGAATATGGTGAAACATATGTATTGGGATTTTACATGTATTGAAACTCTTGCATCTGCTCAAAAATATTCACATCTAGCCTACAACAATATCTTCATACCCATTGTGGTATCAACAAACTTGGAAAGAGGCTAAATCCCTAATAAGAGGGTCCTAAAACAACAATCTCAAGGGTTCTTTTGATCAAATAAAAAATCAGTTTCTTACGTTATACAATTTTAAATTATTTAAAGATTCATGGCGGTCACCAGAGAGGAATGACTATTTTTAAAATATTTTTTTTAATATGCTATATAATATTATTTTATACATGGCTCCAGTGTTGTTAAAAGCTGCTTTTAAGAGTAGCATGATATTGCTACCGCTATTTTACAAAAAAGTAGCGCGCTATTAGCTACTTTAAATTTTTTTTATAAATATATAAATAGACGAGTGGTTAAGTTTAAGCATGTTTAACATCCAGATAATGATTTATGAAATATTATCATTAAATTGATGATAAATGAGATGTTAATATTATTTATCGTAATTTTTAATTTATAATATAATTCTTGAATAATATCTTATGGCGCTAGTTGAAACATACCATGTTTAGTCTGGGCTAGAAAATCAGCCCTCAAATAAACTCATTTAGTTCAAAAACTATAATAGATACAGTTTTGATTCAAATTTTATCTAAAAGATTGAGGATTGGGGTACACAATTAATATTAAATTTGTTTGATATATAACTTTTAAATATTTCTCGTTGAAGCTACCAGTTTTGTTTGATGATAAAACCTTCCTGCACATCTTACAATGAAATTTATAATATGTGATAATTTTTTTATCAAAATTAAATTATTTTGTGAATTCAGGAAAAGTAAAATATCATATTATCATCATTTTCCAGGGAAATTATTTTGTCGATATGATCTGTAACAAAATTATCTTCAATATCAATATCCATCATCCACATTTTAAATTATTTTAACTAGATATAATGCAGATTTTTAAATATAAATTTCAAAATAAAATTTAATAAAAGATTATTAGAATTAACTATAAATATATTTTAATAATTTTTATGTATTTATTCTATAAAATTGAAAGTAGTTTCTAAATTAGTATTTATTTTTTTAAAGTAGCGCGCTAAAGCTACACTACATAGTTCACATCACATGTTATTTTTAACAACTTTATATAATATCGATTATCATACTAATAATACACAAATTTATGCAGTAAAAAATAAATATAATAATTATATAGCATTAGGAAAATGTCTTAAATTTATAAGGACTGTTTGATAAATCAAAACTTTAATTTAGCTGACCATTTAAAAAAAAACTAACTAACAGGGAGATAAAAAGATCTATTTTCTTATATTCATCTGATCATGCATTAATATTTAAGATGGGCTTGTCTTAATGCGAGATGAGACATGCCAATATCAAATTCATAATGTTTCTAGTTCGATTACCCAATAAACGCATAATTTATGAAATTCCTCATCAACATTTACCCTAATTTCTTTAAGCTTTGATCAACAATTTTCATGATGTCTTTTTTTAAGAGAGATTCCATAAAATACTAATTAATTGTTGTATATTCTTCTTTTTTTTATAATTGTATTTTATTTTATTATTGTATATTTTATTTTATTTTATATTATATTATTATATTATTATTTATATTATAATTATAAAATATAATATATATTAGAAAAAATCATAATAACAAAAAGACAATATTTAACATAAATAATAAAATAATGTAAAATACAAAATAAATAAATGCGAATATAATATTGGTAAATTTTTTTTAATTTTATTATAGCTAAATATACCAGCACATTTATTCAAACCCCCCTCTCCCCACCCCCTCCTAATCTTAAGGAGAGATTGAATTTATAAAACAAACATAATTAGCCTTAAGAATGGCTATTGCGATCCTCTGCCTTAAGTAAAGGCCTTCATGAGGCTCCCCAGAATTTTTTCCGATTAGGCGAACAATCTTTAAAAATTTTTTTTAGCCAAATCACAATATGTTGTTAAAGTGGAGCAAATGATTGGTCGAATATGTAATTAGAAGAATCAGCGCTGTATTTGGTGATCTTAAAATTTTGCGCTCTTGTTTAGAGCGTTCTTGTTAAAATTGAAAGGAGAGTTTGTGTCCAGACAAGAAAAATCCCATATTATAAACTTTCCTTGCGACCATGGAATTCGTATGATTCCATCAGGACGCCTACCATCGGAAAAGAGATCAGAATGCTCCAATGAGGTAAGAAAACCAGCTGAACTACAAGAGATATGATTTGATTGCACTCGAGTGTCGGGCTTGCCAACTGGGATTATGATTGCAATGTAAAGGAAGCAGCGCCATATTGTCATCATCAGTATGACATTTGCTGCAATGAAAAAGGAATGTTGTGCCTGGTACCTAGAACACTGAACTCGTAATTGTCCAATTCAAGTTTGAGATTGCTAGATGGAATAACATCTTAATATCCCCCTACCCTTGATAAGTTCAATGAATGTGGATCTAACTAAAGATGTAAAACTGGAAATAAGTTAATCAACGGAGTTTTTTACAAGTGGTAGATCCCAATCCTTCTGTTTTACAGAGATCGGAAATAGGGTTGTATGTGGCAGATTTTGCCCACTCCGTCCTAGCTGTATTCAAAAAAGGATTGTGAACTAACAGATGTTGTTCAATTAATCTTGCCTGAAGGTGGCTGGCAATGAACGCATATATTGAAATTGACAGTGGGAATCTTATACCAAGACCGCTATGTTTGGAAGAAAGATTGGCTTGATGCCAAGCTATGTTTATAAACATGATGTTTACATAGTCACTAAGCTCTTATTCTAGTTTCGAATCTTACTAGAAGCACCATCTCAAATAATGGGCTCGATCGTAGGGAGTAAAAGATTCTAGGGATGTTGAAAATATTCTTAATTAAAAAAAAGGCCTGGTGAGTCGAGAGACAGGTAAGAATGCGTTTTAATTCTAATTTTAAAAGGTATTAAATTTTTTCGAGTCCAATGAAGGGTTATCTTATGAGGAAATGTTTTTGCTATGCTTCTCTAACTCCATGCTAATTTTAAAATTTTAAATAAAATTTCAATTATTTGACTGATGGAAGGGGGGGGGGTATTTTTCTCCCTATACCCCCCCCCCCCCACCAATACACAGCTGGAAGCATATAAAAAATGGTAAAAAAAAGAATTCAAATCAAATTTCAAAAATATGATTTAATCTAATAATTGAAATATCTTTTTAAAGTCGATTGATGGTCCAATATTCTTTTATTTATATTTTTTACAAAAAAACTGTGGAAATGGGTTCGGGTTTAGAATCTTAATCAGTAGCGTTACTAGGTGGGGGGCACATAGGGGCTTGAATCCCCTTAAAGATTTGAAGAGCCCCACTGAAAATTTTGAATTTTCTCTATTATACTTAAAAAGAAAATGTTAGCAAAAAAAGGTCAATTGAAAATTTTACCTAAAAAAAGTAATAAAAAAAATGAGCCCCCTGAGATTTTAGAATCGGGAAATTCTTTTTAACGATTCAAAATATCTTATAAACCTGTTCTTTTTTAAAGTTTATAAAAAATATCTGCATAAAGGGAGAGTTCCATAAGTTTAATAATGAGATAATTTTTATCATTTTAAGGAAGTCTTTCGAACAATTTTATAGTTTATTTTAATGAGGATCAAAAAGTGTTAAATAATTAACCTATTTTTTTTTTATCAAATCAAATATTTTTTTTACCTGTAAAAGAATTTCCTTAGGATTGCATGATTGATTTATTTATATTAATATTATTTCGATTCATTTAATATATTTTATAAGGATTTTTGATTTTTGCCTAAAAATATTTAAAATGAGGGTTGGAGAATTATATAAATTCAATATTTTCATAAATTTTACTATAATTTATATAGCCAAAAATAATTTATTTTAATAATTTTTGTTATTTAATAAAAAATATATTATTTTTGATTTTTTTCATATATGATTTAACATTTGCCCCCTTGAGGGTTGACAAAAATATAGTAGCTTGCTTGATAAATTATATCTTTGTCTTTTTTTAATGAATAAGTATAATTTCTCAAATATAAAATTTCAATTTTTGTAGGCATAAAGAAATATAGATTACCAAAATATTCATTATTATGAAATATATCTATTTATGTTCACTTATCTATTCATATAAATGGTTAATTTTTTTTAGCTATTTATAATTTGCTATATTTTGTAGGTATAAAAATAAATTAAGTATTGATGTGCCAAATCTATTAAGATACGGTTAATAGGGGGAAAGTTTTAAAATATAAAATAATTTTTTGAAAGAAATATAATGTATACAAATTCTTATTCAGAAATGTAATTATGTCAGAAATTAACATATTGATTAAATGAAGATCGAGAAAAAATAGTTTTTCATCCCTAGTTCGAGCAGCGAGAAAGAAACTTTAAGGAAAATTATGGAATGGAAAGAAACATGAATGAGTATTCCGAAATTTTCCAGGACGTTTCGTAAAATAAAGATTAAACTTAATGTAATATAATTTATTACTTAATTTAATATTTATAATGGCTCTAAATATTCATTTTTTTCTGTTTCCCTTTTTTAATTCTAGCATAACATAATAACAATCCTATATAAAAATTTTATATAAATGGATAGCCTTTTTGACCATGTTGCCAGGACCTGGCAACCCTGTCCAGCCTACATTTTGATATTTCATTATATGTACAGCCTACATTTTGATATCTCATATTTATAATTAAATATGAAATAATAGTTTTTGAATCGTTTTAAAATTTACCAATTTAGTTTTGATCGGTATACACAGCCCATTCTAAATATATTTGGCTATGACAATTTAATTGTAGATAAGAGAAACTTTTAAAAACTATTTTAATTCATTCCTTTGCAATTATATAACCTAGAGGTATCAGGCCGGTTGGGGTTCCCTGACTAGACAATAAAATTGTATGATTTTCAAAATTTTCATCTATGACCACAATCTTAAAACTTGCGTGATAGTTTTCTGGATAAAATATTGAGTTAGCCATTTTTAAAAATTGGCTCAAATCGAGAAGTTTAACAAAAAGTAACAATTAATTTGCTATCCTCTTAAAAGGTTATTTAATCCTTATTTGGTAATTTCCTGATATCTTTGTGATTCATTGTAGCAGTTCTATTATCCAAAACACCTATATCATATTTTACAAAATTTATTGATTATTTTTTTTAATGAATTTTATTCTATTCAATATTTCAGTTTTATAATAATTATGATAATTTATTATTTTTTAAATGAAAAATATAGCATTTTATTATATATACGATTATAATTATCTATAATCATTGATACATAATTCTGTTTGTATTTGATTTGCATAATTTCTTCCGTTTTCGCTTCAATTCTGACAAATTATGTGAATTTTTAATCGTCTAAAAATATATCATATGTATACGCTATACATCTTTTAAAATAAGTTTTGAATTGATTTTTTAAACATGAATATTTAATTTTATTATTTGCGCTTAGAATTCGAGGGGTAAAAGTGTGCTCAGGATCCTTCTAAGTTGGATTTTAGCATGTCTAAATGATCGGCAATAATCAAGAGAAAAAATTTAAAATAGAAATTATCAAAATATGCCGTGTTTTAAGTTATAATTTTACTTTTTCATATTTATTTGGGGATGGGAGTTGAGCAATGTATTTACATTTTGAGACCTGATCTAAGTGTGTAATATTTTATTTTTAAGCTCGGGCTCGATTTTCACAAATTATTTTAGAAGCTCTGGTTCAGGGCCCAAATTATTTTAGAAGCTCTGGTTCAGGTATAGGGGCCGAGCTTGCAGGGCTCTGGTTAATTCAAATCATATTTTAGGGATCTTACATCAATAGTTATCTTTCTTCATTGTGCGATAGTTTACTAATTTCTTATACCATTATCCTGATAAAATATTTTAAGGATTGATTTATGTTCTATTGATTCGTTAATAATTAACTTATGCAATTATAAAATTCTTAACCCAATCAGCATGTTTAAGAAAAAACTCAAAATAAGCCAAATTAGCTGTTCAAGCGACTTAAAGTTTCCACAGATCGCAAAATATTTAACATTCTTTAAAAAGAGAATTTTTAAAATGCGTATTCAAAAATGATTTTTTTTACAATGTTATATGGTTAAATTTTAAATAGAATATTATTGCATGGACTGGAGTCATAATAAAAAAATGATAAAGGAATTACGTGATATAAATTTAAATTTTTTTGGAGTGTTTGATTTTATGCGGAAAAAATTCCAATGAAAATCAATTTAGTTATCATTTCAATATTAAAAAAAATGCTATCCTAAGCTAAATGATAATTTTATATTAAATGGAGATTAAAAAGATAGGCGTCTAAAACCTCATTATAATGAACTACAAATAATTAGTATAGTGAATTTTGTTAGTTAAGCAAATTTTAAGATCCCGGTACCATCTACATGGCTAAAAACCCCGATAGAGTGAATAAAAAATGGTCCCCGACGAATTTACATATAGTAAGGTTTTACTGCATATAGTTAACATTATCTAGTTTTATTTCATAATATCTGGGGAAATTAAAGCATGGAGACCACAAATTTTTTTTAAAATGGGGATATATATATAATAATAACGGTAAAGATTTTTACATATAATTAGGATGGTTGATTTTACATACCAATATTTTAATTAAATATTAACAATTTACATAGATTTCAGGTTTGATCTTAAGATTGGCCACAGACACTTTTCTGTTAAGACATTCGCAGGAAATAATTTCAAAACATGATTAAGACAAAAATAACCGCTGGGAATTCTAGGATAATTATATGAATAAGATTAATGTTGTAATTTGAGTCGGTTCAAATTCGCCTGAGCTAATTCGCGATCACCCGAGCTAAATTTCTGATATCTCGAGAGTCCAAGTCATTATGAGGACTTGTCAGTAGCGTCACTAAGTAGGAGGCACAGGGACTCGAGCTTACTAAATAATTTAAAATGCCCCTTGAAAATTTTGAATTTTTTTATATACCACTAAAAAAATGTAAGTTAGCTAAAAAAAAAGGCAAATAAAAAAGGGTAATTTTTGGATAATGTTAGCTAAGAAAAATAGGGTAATTTTGAAATTTTTTTTGAGCCCCCTGAGATTGTAAAGGCTAGTGACGCCCCTGGGGCTTGTTAGATTTTTAGCCCAAATTATTTAAGTATTTTCAATAAAATGTTAATTAAATATATCCCATTATTTTATTAAACATTTAATTTGATCTGATGCTGACTCACTCAACTCAGCCAAATTTAATTCGATACGGCCGAAGCGAGCTAGTAGTTGGTCGGATAATTAAGATAAAAAATTATAAAAATATTAAATAATTTTTTTATAATGACTTTGTTGAGAGATATTCCTTTGCAGTGGCTTAGCCAAGATTTATCCAAAAGGTAGGGGCTCCATACATAGGTATTAAAAATGGTATATATTATAAATTAATCAAAATACAGGATATGATATAACCCACTACTAAACCACACTATACAAGATGTGGTATAGCCATTTCCTTATTATTAAATAAAATTTATTCTGGATCAGAAACATTTTCGAAAACAAGTCTGACTTGGGACTATCTATAGATTAATATCAAGATGAATAATATCGTTGAGTATATTTATTATTATTTATAAAAAATATAAAAATGCATCCCATTTTTCACAAGTTTAAAAAAAAGAATAAAAAGGCGTTGATAATAGTTTTTATAAAAAGTCTAAATAGTAAAAAAAATATACTATAAAAATAATATATTACACATAAAAATATTAAAAATATTTTAAAAATATATATGTATAATTAGTTAAATAAATTTTAAAAAAATAATTATATATATACAAACAAAATACACCAATTGGGCCAAATTTTTTTAAAAAAAGGCTACTAGATCTAATTTACAATTACAATAAATAATAAATCTCGTTTTATAATTTACAACTTAAAAGTCTCATTTTAATTCCAAGTGATTGTGGAAAATCGCCATAAAAAGTTATTTGGTTCATCTGATCGTATCAAAGGAACTGAGATCTATGTCATCACTTTTCGATATTGAAATGGGCTGTGTGGACGTATATTTCCAGATCATGATAGTTTCGTCTGCTCCTACGGTGGCTAAATTACTCCCGCAGGGACTAAAACCCAGAAATAAAACCCGGTTTTTATGACCTTTCATGCTGTTTAACTTAATTTATTTGGATAAAAGAAAAAAATAGGATTTATTTAATCTATATATTTAATGTTTATTAATACTATAATAACAATATTCGTTTAGCCTGAGAGCGAGTTAATTAGATTAATGGTATGTGATTTAAGGCATGAGTTTATATAAACATTAAATTTAATAATATATTTTGTGTTTACATTATAATGACTTGTTGAAAGGTATGTGATAATGAATTAAATTGATATAGTAATAGCATTAAGTTAATAACAATATCATGTTGTGTTTTTAAATATACAATAATGAATTAATCTTTTTGTGATGTTAATTATAACCATATAAAATTTAATCAGAATCTAAAATTATAATCATATTTTTAATTTTTAATAGGGAGATTATTTTAGTTCATTTAATTTTCCAAATCTTGTTAAGAGGGATATATGGTTATTTATTAATTTATAAATATACTGTGTAAAAAATTGTCTAATTTATTCTTAAATTTTTGATAGTAATGGTAATAAGACCAAGTAGGGGAGACCGGGGCACATTAAGTACAGGTGAGGTCCACTCTAATTATAATATAAGTTATTATTTTATAAGACATGATGGCTAAAAAAGATTTTTATTTCGTATTTTAATTTTTAGAGAGGAAAATATGTTTTAGCATATCAAAAGTAACAAAAAGTAATTGAAACTCTATCGTTTAGATTTATAAATAAAGCTTTTAAAATCTTAACAAATAAATTTTAGGAAAAAAACATATAATTTTAATCTGATAATTATTCAAAATCATAAAATATTGGTTAATATGCTGAATAATATTTGTAAAGTTAATGGGCTAAGTCATGGTTAGTCAGAGATAGCTGGTTCTATTAATTATTGCATATTTAATTTTTTTAATATGATTCAAACAAATGCAAATAATTTTCAATGAATATTTAACAATCTAATTTTTAATATAATATACTTTAAATCTTTAATTTCAATTTAATTAACTTAATTATTGTGTATTATAATATTATTAATAAATTAATATACTATAAAGCCTCTATTATAGCAATATTAAAAAAAAATAATTCTATATTTGGGCCCTCATTTCTTTGGTGGACCTATTATCACATATTGTTGGTAAGTAAGTAGTTTAATGTATCTTGAGAATTTGTATCTATATATAGAAACAATTTTAAGAATTTACATGTTTAGATATTGTATTAGGTCATGTATCTTTATATATATACATATTAAAAGTATTTAAAAACTCTGTATGAAATATTATAATATAAAACAAATAAAAAACCTTATTTAAATTGGGATATCCCCAAATTTCTGTGGCATTTCCTATCCCTGCTATAAATTCTTTATGCCTGTAAGACCAAGAAAGTCCGATAACCATTCCAGTAACTGCTAAGTTCTTGATAGATTTTGTGGATCGTGTCTGCCAAAACTGAATAATTTTGTCTGAACCAGTAGCCAAAAGATTGCGGTCAAAGGGAGACCAAGAGAGGCTTTTTGTAGATTCAGTATTTGTAGAATTGGTGCGGGTTGATAATTGGGTTTTGTCCCATAGGCCAAGGCCATCATGAGACGCAGTGGCTAATTGGCTACCGTATCGATCCCATTTTAAGTCGCATACCTAATGAGAATGGAAGTTTTAAAAACCTTTAATGACATAAAAAGGGAACTGAGATTTCTGGGTATTGCAGAAATCAATCTTTCTCCCTACCTTACATACCTCGCATTTGTGAAACTTTGACTGACCCACAATGTGCCTCTTGACTTTAACATCGTGATGCAACACACGTCCAGTCCTAGAGCCAGTAGAGAGTAAACTTTCGTTCCAAGCCAGTGAAGAGATTCTATTCTGATCCATTACAGTCGAACTAGAGGTCCCAGGTTCAATATCCGATTTGATCACGTCCCCATAAAAGCTGCGAATCATTTTTTGCTTGGTAACGTCCCATAACTTTTATAAGATATGGAATTAAATTTATGAATACTTTTAATGGTTTATTTGAGTTTTATAGAAAAGGAAAATTTAAGGATTAAAAACCCCCTCAAATCACTAAATAACGTTCCTGAACAAGATTTAACCCCATATGTAATTAAGTGTCAATTTTTTTTTTCAATTCGAGAACATTTTGGTTTTCACCACCTTTTCGAGAGGAAAGGGTGTAGTTGCTAACCCTGTATACCAAAACTATTGCATAAATACCTATAATTTAGTTTATAGAAATCTTAATATTATAGGTGTAATTGCGTGGGAGAGGAAAATAATTAATTGCTAATAAAATTAATCTTCAAAAAAAAACTTTATTTAAAGCTAAATTTCTAGTCAAGTTTTATGAATGAAACAAATTCAAACCTAGATATATTTATACTTTATATATAAAATATTTAAACAATATTTGATAAATGGATATAATAAAGGGGCAGATGACTTATTATTAAATGACATTAAGAAATGTAACATAAAGTGGAGTAAATATATTAGATGAATAGGGTTAAATTAACACATGAGCTGCCATTTTAATAATGAAAATCATGTACTACCTCATTTTACCGACTAACCTAGCATATCTTCTTTTTAAAAAAATACCTGAATTTTAGAAAAACTATTTCCAACGGCAAGAATTCTGCCATTCTGAGTCCAGGCAAGGGAAGAAACGTAAGCTCCAATTTCAATTTCTGAAATATCGATTAAATGAGTAGTTTCTCCATTTGTAGGATTCCACAAGTACACATTTGAACCTAAAGCTATGGCCAGCAAATTTTTAGATCCCCAATCTAAAAGGTTCAAATCTTTTTTAAAAAAAAAATTTTTAGATCTTTATTGTGCAATTTTTTTAAAAGAAACCCTTAAGAGCACATAACATTTGGTAAGTATCAGTGACAAATATCGGTCGATGTCTTAAGATATTGGTATCGGCGAGAAAAAGGATATTAATTCATTTATGGATTATAATATAGGAATCGGCATTTTCAAAATATCGTCCGATTCATATAATCGGCGCATAATCGGCGCCGCCAATTATTATTCGTAAGAATCATAAATTTAAAAGTCAAGTAAAGATGATAATAATATTTGTTGTATTTAAAATATATATTATTAAATCTTAAACTTTTACTGCATGAATTTTTTTTCAAGAACTATAGCTAATATGACATATAACCTAAGATATGCATAACATAGTTAATTGTAACCTGGTCACAAAATTTAGCAAGGGTTAAAGTATAATATGATTAATAAATAAAGATCCAGTTGCGCAACCATATACTTCTATTACAAAATTACATTATAGCTTAACAATATTGGCCTATTTTTTACTGCTTATAATGGAATATAATAAATGCATATAAAATGCTAAAACTTTCTTTTTTTTTAAAGAAAGAGGATAGACATAACTTAAAGATGTCCAATAATATATATTTTTTTATTAATTAAAATTAATCTTGTGAATGAGATAAAAAGGTTCTCCAATCTTGGGACTAATAACTCAATTTCCACCAAAAGAAGATAGAGCGAATATTGTGATTAAATTACCTTAATAAAAGCATGTGAGATTGTATTTAGGTTTGGGAAAAATCATCATTTAAATCATGTTATAATAAAATAATAATAACTTTATAATATAGGCCCTGGGAAAAAAAACTTTAAAAAAAGTTATTAATAGAAATGCCCATTAATTTTATTACATTGACATTTATTTTTCTGCGAAATTTGTGAATTGTTTATTGAGTTGACTAAAATAACTTTATCCTATATAATTACCATTATTTGCCCATTTTTTTATACTAATATAAATTTTTTTGGTTATTTTAATTTAATTAACATTTTTATACAAACTAGAATTAAAATTAATATTTTTATACAAACTAGAATTAAAATTAATATTTTTTAATAAACTGCAAATCTTCTTTGTCAAAATATTGAATATCAAAAATAAAGGCAGATTGAAATAATATTGAAATCAAATTTTATAATAAAATAAAAATAACTTTATAATATAGGCCCTGAGAAAAAAAGAATAACTTTAGAAAAAAGTTAATAATAGAATATTAAATTTAAATAAATTTTTTATTATGAAAAATTTATTATATCAAAAAAATAATAATTTTAGAACATAGAATATATAATCTTTTTTAATAATAATATAAATAGAAATTAAAACATATAGGCAAAATATCGTAAAATATAATAGAGCCCTGGTGGGACAATCCGTCAACCTTAGCATATCCCAGAAAATATAGGGCCAGCCCATGGCCCTAATCCATTTTTGTTTGATTGAATATCAGAATTATAAAATGAATTTAGTAAAAGAGAGTTTTAAAAAATTTTTACTATTAATTTTCTTATAATATTTTGTAATAAATAAACTAGATAAACATCATTAAATTATCAAAGTTATTCCTGAATGTTTAAATTTAATGCATTACATTAAAATAAAGAATAAAAAAATTTATTTTGAGTTCGAGTCGTCCCTATAAGCTTATTACGAGTCGTAATGAGCTAAGCCTATAACTAAGAAGGGAATCAGGCGGGCTGAGGCTAAAAAATTACAGCTTGCCGGTCTCTAAAAGGAGGTATCAAATAATGTTTATATTCAAAAAGAAAACGAATAATTATTTAAAATACAAACAAAAATTGATTTAATAAAGTAATTTTTGCATAAAAGTGACTGAATTACTTTAGAAAAAACACATTTTTTGGAATATAATGACAAAAAGAACAGTTACTTTTCAAGCTAATTTTTAAAATATTTAAAATATTTATATACAACTAGTTCAATATCTTTATTGATGACTCTCCAAATTTAATATTGCTTAATAAATAAATGCCTCATTCGTAATTACATCAAGCACTCTTGTAAAACTTTGCTTAATCTTGGGAGTAGTTTTCTGTTAAAAAGTCAAATAAAAATTTATTCTCAAATTTTTTGAAAAATTAGTATTATATTGTGTTATTTATATATTTTTCATTACAAATAAATATTAAGTTGCTATATGTTTTTTTTTCAATGTAATAATTTCTTTATTTAAATTCTTTTTTCTTTAAATTCCTTTGATTAAAATTTATAAATCACAAAATCATCGTGCATAATAAATTTTTTTTTATTAGGAATGATGATTATAAATATATTTACAAGATAACTTTCAATGTAAATAGTTACTTTTGAAATATAACGGTTATTAGTTACTTTAAAAAATGTAACTAGTAAGTGTAACTTAATTTTTTTATGAATATAACTAGTAACTGTTATTATTTACCTTTCAAAAATAACTTTTAACAGCACTAGTGTTAAACAATATGACAAATGAAACAATAATAAAAACTTATTTAACTATTATCATTGATCAAATCTGGAGCGTCCAATATTTTTTCTGGGGCAGAAGGAATTTCTCTTGCATTATCCGATTTAATTAATAATTTGTGAAGAGATGCATTTTGAGAAGAGTTGAATGGGTCACCATTTCTCATACCTTTATTATTAGTATTTTAAAAAACAATTATAAATATTAATATCTGATTTATATATTTAAATTATTTATTATCTAGAATTAAGAATTATTTAATTAAATTAAACAAGAACTACTAAATCTAAAAAAATATATTATAAACTATAGCATAGAGTCAAACTTGACTAATTATAATGATTCCTAGCAGGCTTGTTTAAATGTTCCGCCTTATAGATATTGTTAAACCAAGTTTTTATAGCTTAAATTTTTTTTAAACTAGCGAAGGGTAATTAGGGTTCAACACCCCAAGAAAAAATTTGTGTATTCTTTCTATTTTATATTAAACTATATCTATGCCAATCATAATGATTGAAGGTGGAATAATTTTTAACAGACATGCATTGAAACTTAGAGCAGAATAATTTGTAGAATATTTTTATTCAATAAAATAATAATAAAAATCCCCCTCCCCTCTAGTGCTTTCTTATTTTTTTCAGGCTGATATTGAATTCAAATGCCTTTTCGTTATCTCTAAGAAATCTTTTTTTAAATGTTTTATTTAGCTGGTATCTTTCTAAAAAAAATATAAACCCTAATCCGAAAGGCGTAAAAAATCTCAAATACATAAATTCATCATAATTTAATTAAATATCTAAAAAATTTATGAATTTAAATAAAATATGGTTAAGAAGTATGTATGTTTTTTCAGTATTTTTTTATATACAAGTATCAATGGCAAGTACCAATGTATCAGAAGAATAACCCGTGGTATAGGGTAAAAAAAACATTGGTATATAAGGTTTTTAATAGATGACTTGCATAATTTAAAATTTTATGTCGCACATATGAGGATATCAATATTAGTTAATACATGTAATATCCATAAGTTATATAATATTCTACATGATATTCATTTCAATAAATTAGTTATTTTTTGGAGTAAAATATAAGTATTAGAGATAAGACACGCCCTTGCGCGGCAAAAATATATTATTTTAAATTGCATTATTCAATATTTAAAATAAACAAAATTCTGGGCTAACAAAAATATTTTACATAAATTGCTAAGCCTGACCCAAAAAATATTTTGCAGGCCTGACACAATTTTTTTTCAGCTTAACCTAGCCCAGATCTCTGATAAGTATGTCTGAACATCTGCCACCTCAAACCATCTTAAAGGCACTTTAAATCAGGGAAATTTAATCTTTTTTCTTAGCAATGAGCTCTAACTTCATGATTCAGTAAACATTTCCCCATTCCATTTTTGCATATGTTAAGATATCCAGTGTGTTTTTGTACCAATTATCACATTGCCATTTTATTGTATCAATTTTTTTTTTTACCATATTAATACATCTCAGCCAAGGGATATGAAAATGTGCTATATATGGGGTTACTGAAATGTGATGGAGTCACATATATAGCAACCAAGCAGTGGCCCCTACACTTTCTGAGCGAATGAAGCAGAATACCCCCCCCCCCCACCTCGAAAAAATAAAAATTATTTTATGACACCCATAAATTTCAAAAATAATTTTTATTGCATCAATTTTTAATATATAATATAAATAAAATGCAAAAAATATATACTTTATAAATATTATTTTTGAAAAGAGAAAGCGAAAGTTTTTATAATTTCATCAATATTTAATTTTTCCATTGATAATATGGTTAAATTATTGAGAAATGAATCTTTCATGGTACTACGAAGTCCTGTTTTAATTAATTTAATTTTACTCATGACTCTTTCGGCAGTACATTAGGTTGTAGGAATGGTTAATAAATATTTATATAAAATTGATAAATTAGGGAAAGCAAAAAAATTTAAAAGTAGACGATAAGGTAAAATAAATGAATAGTTTTCTAATCTGAATCGTAAGTCCCTGAATTATCATCATCATCAGAAGAAACTAAATAATTTATTAGTAAAAATATTAATTAAATAAATTTACAATTCTCAGAATCTGATAAATCTTTAGATTCTTGAACCTCTAGGTCATGAGTAATAATTACATTCCCATTTTGGCCATCTTATAAATATTTCTAAACTTCAACATTTCTTCGAAAATTTGACTTAAATTTAAATTGTAAAATTCACAGATATCCTCGATAACTTCTTTAATAATTTATTTTTCTGCCATTCCCTTTGGCGTAAAAATGATGCTTGATGTAAAAATTTCATCGAATCATCATTAAATCTTTCGTTAAACTGCATAATAATTAAATCGAATGCAGCATAAAACACATCTATTTTAAAGCTAAAAAAAATTTCTATATTTAATGATGAAAGTATATATATACCTCTCCTTTTTGGATTGTAATGTTTGAAGTCTAGAACTTTCAAAATCAAAAGGTAGATTTCTCTCCTTCATAAAATCTAGTGCCTTTGAAAAAACATCCAAAAATTCAATGTTATTATCTATTAGATTAAAAAATAATTAAGACAATAACTTATATTATACTTCTCAAATTAATCAAGAAATCATTTGCCAATTGAATTTGATTTATTGCAAACCCTATATCCTTCGAAATGGTTTGCAATTTTGTTCAAGCCAAACTTGTTATCAACAATATGTTATCCAAAACACAAAGTGATAAGATAAAATCAAATGTTTATATTCTAAAGACTATAGCACTGGCCATAGTGGAAGTGACAGGATCTTCCGAATCCTTTAAATTTGTTAAAGCTGCCCTCAAGGCATCATAAAGTAGAAATAAATTTACAATAGCTTTATATGACGATAGCCAGCTTCTAAATAAAAAAACATTTTAAATCTAAATAAATAAGGTACTATCAACGAGTGGTATTCTTGATGCGTAGAAATCGTTATTTTTTCAGATCATTACACTGCTATTTTTTGAGTACCTCATATCTTTTTAAACCATTAAAATAGATATAAATCTCATCTAGTATTCCTAGAACATTTCGAATTTCTTTAATTGATTGGCATAATTGAACAATGATTAAATTTAATCGATGACAATAACACCAAATAAAAGCTGCCTTTGGCGCCTCTGCTCTAATCAAGGCCTGCACACCATTGATTCTTCCACTCATGTTTGAGGTGCCATCATAACTTTGCCCAACTAGAAATTCAAGGGGTAAATTCATCGAGCCAAGTTTGGATATTATATTATGTTTAATATCAAGACCTGTGGTATTTCCCGTACAATATATATCAATCAGTCTTTCAACAGGCTTCGGCATCTCATTATTCAAAGCTATTGTTTCTGAAAAGCAACTGTTAAATGTAATCTGGGGGGGGGGGGTCTTATTATTACATTTATAAACAAGAAATCACTTGATCATGATGGATGTAACAAAACAGTAAAAGAATTAAATAATAAAGAAAATTTAAAAAAAAAAAGTACCCCCACTCAAATTTACTGAAGCAGTTGTTTCGGACCCCCTTCCCGTTGTAGGGGCCACTGCAACCAAGAGTTTATCAGTAATATAGAATAAACATTTGTAATTTTTTCGATTCCATAATATAATTCTTATCCTTCATAATGAAATTAAATATTCTAGATCGATGCCATGTATCGATTATTCGTTTTGGCTATAGTAAGGAATTTATTAATATTTTATTATTTTTCAGTCAAATCCTTGACCGTCTAACAAGAGATAATATCCATGTTTGACAAATTCACACCATGGTTGTAGTGCCATAACACTGCAATTAATTCTATGTAGAGTCGACGATCAATATTTGCTTGTTAATAAATTACCGATCCCTTTTTTAGGTAATTCCTTATCTATTGATGGCTTATATTAGGAAATCGAATTCCCTCAGATCATGCTGCATAAAATATCCTTTGCGTGAACATGAATATATCCCGTTAATTGATAGCACTACACCAGAGAAAGATTGTGTCGTTTTTTCGTTGGAGGCTTTGGGAAATTCATCTAAAAGGAGAATTCCCGCTTGTTTTGATGTGTCAATCCCAGGGGGAGTGAACGGTAACGAACCGTTAAACCATTATAAATATCTGAACCGTAACCGAACCGATATAATTATTTTTTGAAGGAGTAAAAACCCTTATATAAAAGTTAAACCGGTTCAGATTTTATATTTTAGGAATCGAAGAAATTTGAATATCCAGAATTATATAAACTTGCACTTATAGTACTGGCAGTAACACAAGTTTCTGTAGAAAGGGCCTTTTCGGGGCTAAAATTTGAGTCATCGGCACAACGAACAAATATGAATCCATTTATATTATAAAATATATTACTTATGTGTTCAAATATTATATTATTAGATGAGTTATTTTGAATCTTATATATTATTTTTATATATAATTCATAGATGCTTATAACAAAAATAAATTAGAAGATGTGTTCCTTTACAATTAGGTGAACCGAACTGAACCTTTTAAATGTTTTCTTAAGAATCGTATCCAAAAAGTAACCATTATAACTTTTTACTAGTGTTGTAAACGAAGTTCGATTTTTTGAAAAAAGGTGATGAACGGCGTTCCTTTTTTTTGACGAACTTTGAATGTGAACGCGTTCCTTTTCTTTGATGAACGTGTTCAATTTTACGTTCGTTCAATTTTAAAAACACCTTTTATTTTTATTTATTTGAAAAATTAATATTTAATCCAATTTTTTAACAAAAAAGTCTTATATTTTTTAATCAGCTGTTTTTACTTTTTACTCTTTCATATTGCAATTAACGTACCATAACGTGCTACTGCTAGAGAAGATAAGATTAAAGTTTATTAATTTGAATATTTTATATTTTAATTTAATAGATTAGCATTTGCATGGATATAAATATTTCATCATCAGATTCTGAAAATCAAAATTCAATATTAGATGAATTAGAATTACCATGGCCCAAATATCAAAAATATTTCACTGTTTTAAAATCAAAAGGTAATTCAATAGTTACCAAATGTAAAATGTGTCCAAAAAGTATTATATCAGTGTCAACATCTTTAAGCTCCAATTTAAAAAGACATCTGATTGTAACATTAATTATTTTATATTATATAATATGTATAACTATATAGCCAGT